TGATGACCGACATGAATCTGTGTACCCAAGAGCCTCAGCGAAGTCCAAGCGGAATGAAGGACACGCTATGGCCAAGTTGTCAAAGGCCAAGGTCACAGAGAATCTTAAAGCAGCGAGAGAGACACGGGTGGTCACGTGCAAGAGATCCTCGGTACTGTTTTGTTTTTGTTGTTGTTGTTGTTGTTTTTTAAAGATTTTATTTATTTATTTGACAGACAGAGGTCACAAGTAGGCAGAGCGGCAGGCAGAGAGAGAGGGGGTAAGCAGGCTCCCCGCTGAGCAGAGAGCCCGATGCGGGGCTCGATCCCAGGACCCCAGGATGGTGACCGGAGCCAAAGGCAGAGGCTTTAACCCAGGCACCACCCAGGTGCCCCTCTCAGTACTGTTTTAAGGGGCCTCTCATTAGAAGCCTTGCAGACCAGAAGGCGGTGGGATGAGGCCTTAATGTCCTGGAAGATGTAAAAACAAAACAAAAGAAAACAAAACTGTGTCAACCAAGAATTCTCTAGCCAGTAAAATCTATTTTCCAAAAACAAAAGGGAAAGCAAGACATTCCCCGATAAATCAGATCCGAGGGAGCTTGTTGCTAGGGGACCTGTGGACAAGGGATGCTAAATAGGGGTGCTGGGGGGCTCAGTCCTTAAGCATCCGCCTTCCACTCAGGTCTTGATCCCAGGGCCCTGCACGGGGCTCCCTGCTCATCTGTCGTTCTCTTGCTGGGGAAACTGCTTCTCCTTCCCCTTGCTCCTGCGCACTCCTGTGCTCCCTTTCTCTCTGTCAAATAAATAAACACTTTTTTAAAATGCTAAAGAGACTCCTTTTGGCTGAAATGAAAGAACACTAGACAGTAACTCAAAGCCACATGCAGGGCACCTGGGTGGCTCAGTGGGTTAAGCCTCTGCCTTCGGCTCCGGTCACGATCCTGGGGTCCTGGGATCGAGCCCGCGTCGGGCTCTGCTCAGCAGGGAGCCTGCTTCCCCCTCTCTCTCTGCCTGCCTCTCTGCCTACTTGTGATCTATCTGTCAAATAAATAAATAAAATCTTTTTTAAAAATGTACAAGCTGACATTAGAGCAGTTTTGGTTTGTAAGTCTCTCTCTCTATATATATGTGATTTAAAAGGCAAACGCATGGAACACTAATTAGTGGGCCCGCAGTACATAAAGATGCGTCTGTGACAACAGTGCGGGGAGGGGGGAGACTAGAGGAGCTGACCTTCTACATACTGCTGAGACTCAGTCGAGTCTTCAAACCAGGGTGTTATCCTTCTAAGATTTTAACTGTAACTTTCACAGAAACTACTAAGAAAATACTGAAAAAATATGCAGAAGAGGAAAGAAGGAAATCAAAATGGTACCATACAAAAATCAATGCCAAAAAAAGGCAGTAGTGGAAGACTCGGGAAGGAAAACCAGAGAAGACACATGGAAAACAGACGACTACTGGGTAAAAGTAAATTATTTCTTGTCAGTAATTTCTTTAAATGTAAATGCACTAACTCTCCAGTTAAAGGGCAGGGGTCGGCCGAGTGAATAAAAAACACGATCCATCTAATGCGTGCCGCGTACAACAGGCTCACTTTATTTTTTTTAAGATTTTATTTATTTATTGGACAGAGAGTGCAAACCGGGGGAGCAGGAGAGGGAGAAGCAGATCCCTGCCGAGCAGGGAGCCCCATGAGGGGCTGGACCCTGGGGTCTTGGGATCATGACCTGAACGGAACGCAGATGCTTAATGACTGAGCCCCACAGGCACCCCAACAGACTGTAGATACAAAGGCACAAAGAGGTTGAAAGTAAAAGGACGGAATCAGATACTCCGCGTGAATTGTGACCCAAGAGGGCTGGGGCGGTCACATTAAACAGGCTTTATGTCAGGCGCATTTTGGACAAGTTATCTTTTCTCAGGATCATGTCTGGAAGGGTCGTACCGGCCCCGCTCATATGGAGGGGCGAGGTTTCTGCCTTGCGATCTCTAAAGGCTTATTCGATAGCGGACCTGCTTAGTTCTCCTCAGCCTTTGTGGAGAGGGCTCCCTGGATCAGCGGGATTGTTGGTCCCAGGGGACCACTCCCTCCCTCATCTCCTTGTTTCCGCATGGGACCCAGGACCAGAGCCTTCCCTTATCCTGTTCTGCTCTTTCTCTGAGTGCCCTTCTCACATCCTGGATAATTCACTCATTGTTGTATACTTCTGTGTGGATCCTCTGCCTCAGGCAGGGACCGGTGTCCGTACTGGCCCCCGAGGGAGTGGGCACACAGCAGTCACTCCGTCCGCACTGGCGAGTAACTCAGTGTCCAACAGGGAGCCCCAACTTAGCGTGTCCAGACACCAACCCTAGCCACTGTGTCCCCTAGTCAGCCATGGAGCTCTGCCCTCCAGTCACGGAGGCCAAAATGCTGGTGTTTCACTCACACTCGTGGAACCTATGCCAGGACGTCCCGTGGCCCCATCTGCCTGCCACACCCCACCTCTCGCCAGTCGGATCCTGCTAGAACCAGGTAGCTTATGACCCTTCACCCCTGCCGTCTCTGCTCTCGGGGCACCAGGACCATCCTCTTCCACCTGGCACCCTCCCCCCACTTCCTATCTGCGTCCCCAGCCTCACACGGACATGGAGCACCCAAATCATTGATGTCTCTAGCCTGTTTGGGCTCTGTCTCCCCCACGCAAACATCAGCTCCAGACGGGGTGACCGATGGTCCCCATTTGCTGGGTTTGAGGCTGAGAGTGCTGACCCGGTCCGCCCCTCAGTCCAGGGCAGACCCTTCCGTCCCCAGCTGCAGCGACGGTGATCTTCGCTTCTCGCGCTGGGTCCGTCGGGCGCCCAGGGGTAGTCAGAACTGCTTGAGGATCAGAGAATGAATGGGACACACGATGTCCCAAAGTTGCCCTCCAGTTCAACGGCGAGCCCTGGGTGGGGGACCCAGCCCCTCCCTCTGGTCCTCCCCGTCCTGGGGCCTGAGATCATCCACAGGTCACGCCCCAGGCCACTGGGCGTGGTCAAGGTCTCCATGTGGAGGTTGGATCGCTGAGCACAACTGCCACTTGGTGGCAGCACACATGGGGACCAGGGGCACCTGGGACCCAAGAAGGCGATCCTCCACTCATTCCCTATAGCCCGGAACCTCTTGAGAGGAACAGTCACGGCCTCTGTTTGGGCCTCAGATTTCCAGATCTGTGGAAGGCCAAGGCCACAGCAAGTCTGGAGGGAGCCTACACCCGGTCGGCTCCCATGCCCCTCCCTGGTCCACTCCAGGCAGGCCAGGTTCCCAGGGGTAGCCCTGGGTCTGAGCCAGGGTCTCTGTGTGGCCACAGGGCTCCTGGGTGGACCCGGTGAGGGGAGCAGGAATTCCAGGAGGGGACAGCCCATCCACAGCCGGACTCTGGTCCCTCACCCCGCCTGGGCCTTGATGGGGAGGGAGCACCGTGGGCAGACAAGGACCTCCAGAGGACTCCGTGCCCCCAAATCCCGGGCAGTGAGGAAACGTGGTGAGTGCAGAACCATAGGCAGCCCCTAAAGCCTGACCCAGGGTGGGAGTGGGAGGCCTGGGGCCCGAGGTCAAGGCCTCCCTGACCCCCACGCCCCCAATGTCCCACCCTCTGTCAGCTCCTGGCTTGACCTGGACTCTGGCAGCCACTTTACGGAGACTCTAGAAGGGGCTTCAGGAAAGGGTGCCCCCGCCCCACCCGCATCCGTCGTGGGGCTGAGCACCTGTGGACCGCCTGAACACCCCTCTTCCTCTGGCTCTCCCTCCCACACAGGGCCCGGGGGCAGGCCAGTGCGGTAGTGGCGTCTCCAGCCGCAAGGGTGTCCTCACCTGGGGGCTCGCACGCGGTGGGGGGCCAGCAGGCTCTCTCTGCGGTCTGGGCCTCCACCCTCGCCTCCCTCTGGAGCCCTAACCCCATAACCCTCCTCACCAACCCACTTCCCCCAAGGGGCCTCCTCGCCCCGCAGACCCCATCTCTGTTCTCAAGGGAAGAGGCGAGCTAGTGGACAAGTGTTTACTGAAGGTGGGGGGCGCACTGGCTTGGCCCACCCCCTAGGTCACTGGGGGCATCAGCCCCCTTGACAGAAGAGGGCAGGGGGACAGCGGAGCCTGGCCCTGGATTTGCCGGCTGTGGAGATGGGGCTGGCCGGGGGCGCCCATCCCTGGGAGCGCGGAGGTCAGCTGCAGAGGATGCCCGGCCTCCAGATGACCGCAGCTCAGGGGGGCACCCTGGCAGTCCTTGGGCGCAGCCCCAGAGTCAGTGGGGTACATCTGACAGCCCAGCTTCCGGGTGACCCTGACCTGGGCTGTGGAGACCCCACTGCAGGGCCGAGGGTCCCCCTGCGGTGCCATCAGCGAGTGGGACGCTTCCGAGAACCGCCCGTCCTGCCAGGGACCTCCTAAGGCCACAGGAAGTGGAGGGCCCTCCCTGGATGGGCCGGGCCGGGGGGCCAGAGAGTGGAGGGTGACCCGACCTCTGGGAGGGCTGGTGCGGGGGTTGGGAGGCCCGGCCTGGGGACCCCGGTCAGTGTGCAAGGGCTCAGGGCAGGAGCTGAAGCTGGTCCCGGGCCAGCGGAGCTGTGGGGCATGCGGGCTCCCACTCAGCTCTCCAGAGCCCTGGGAAAGCTCTGGCAGCCATCAGGCCGCTGCCAGGCCCTGGTCCTCAGGCCAGGGGCGGCGGCCACGGCCACGGGCGATCCCGAGGGAGGCCGCACCGAGCAGGGCAGGGCAGTCAGAGGCCAGGCCGTCTGCGAAGAGGGCGGCCCACCCAGCCGTTCCGCAGGCCTTCAGCAAGGAGCTTCAGGAAGGGGCTGCAAGTCCCTCAACCGACCCGAAGCCCAGGGCCTGGCCCGAGGGCCCCCAGGGAGCTGCGGGCCTCTGGGGACCCAGAAGGTGGCTGGCGCCACAGCCTGCGCTCTCGTGAGCCACCTCCAAGTCCTGCCACCTGGCTTTCTCTGCCAGAGGCCTGGGAGCTCAGGTGGGGGCCGGCCTCCGCCGAGCCCCCGTATGCAGCCGGGGCACGGGCTGGCGCCTGATGAGGCTCGTGGCCTCAGTCTGCTGTCCCCTGGGTGGTGGCTGGAAGGAGAGGAACGGGGGTGCCGGCTCAGTGAACCGATACCAACCTTGTCCAGGGCACACCCCCCTGCAGTCACCGCCCCTGTGGCAGGGGGAAAGAGAGGGAACCACAGGCCCCAAATGCTCTCCATCCCAGAGAGTCTGCGCGTGGCAGCAGGCCAACGGCCCATCTTCAGGGACCCCAAAAGCAGGATGCACTCCCACTTGAGACGGACCCACCCCTCCGCTCTCGGGCCTGTCCCTGGGATTATGGGACCCGCCCAGCGCGGCAGGGAGGCTCTGGCCTTGGCTGGGGCCGGCTCTCAGGTCATCTGGCTGCTGGGTGGGGGAGCCCTAGTCCAGACACAGGCCCCAGGGATGACCATCACCCCTCCGCCTGTGATTTGCTACAGGGGACCTTTGCTGGGGAATTGGGACCCAGACTTGGCTGGTAATCTCCTCTGGGGGAGGTCTAAGAGGCGCTCCCCAGGCTCTAGGGCATTTCCGGTGGGGCAGAGGGCAGGATTGGGGCAGCCCTAGAGCCTGGAGACCTGGGCAGGCTGGGGGCGTTGGGTGGGTGCTTGCCCCACCCTCTCCCATCCCCCTCATGCCCCTGAGACCCCCACAGTCCACTCTCCCCTCAGCAGCCAGAGGGCTCTAGCATGTGCATGTGACCATGTCTGCTCCCCACTTATATCCCGTCGCCCTTCTCGGGACCCCCAGGCATAGGCCACTCTCCTGGGCCACACCCAGGACCCCCATGCTTCGCTTTGTCTCCTGTGAAGCCCGAGGTCCCAGGAGTCTGGGCCGAAGGGGCTTGGCGAGAGAAGGTAGGCTGAGGGACATCGTAAGTTCCTGGATAGCTGGAACCAGAGCCCTAGTCGGGGGTGACGGACACCCAGGGTGACTTCATGGCAGGGGGGTGGGCCTTGCCCCCCCAAGTCAGGGGTGGGTCTGGGTCGGTCTGCCTTGGCCTGGGTTGGAGTCTGGCCTGACTTCCAAGCAGGTGGCCCCTCTGTCCCCCACCAAAGCCCAGTGTCCTGTACAGGGCTCACCACCACCACCCTGAAGGGGCGAGACAGGGACTGGGCCCAGAGCTGAGGCTGGGGTCCAGCCCTCGGCCTCCCGCAGCCCTGGGGCCCGAGACCCTTGAGGGGAAACTCACTGCAATGCAGGTCACACAGCTGGTGGGGGGCGGAGAAAGTCACGTCAGTCCTCCAGCCCTGGGGGGCGGGGCAGCTCAGTCAGCATGGCCTTCGGCCTCTCCCGCACCCTGACTGCAGCCCCCAGGGCCCCGGCCCGGGGAGGCTGCTGGGCTGACAAGCCCCCCGAGGAGCTCTGGATGGTGGAGTCCCCCGCTCTGTGATGCCATGATGCCAGGGAAGCAGGGCTAGGACTGCAGGACGTGAGTGGGGACTGGGGGGGCAACTCCGCCCACCTGGATGCAGGTGTTGGGGACACAAGCCTCTTCCCTGGGAATGTCCACAAAGGCCACCGCAAGGTCAGTCACGAAGTCACTCTGGGTGGGAGAGAGGTCAGTCACAGGCAGTGGCGGGGAAGACTGTGTCACGGAGCGGAGTGCCCAGCACCCCTCCACACCGGGTGGCCTCCAGGGGCTGACTCAGGGCCTTGCAGACAGGAAACGGATCAGCCACCTTCCCCAGGAAGGAGCCCACCCCCTGCACACCCGGCTCACTGAGGCTGGGGCAAGGGTCGTGGTCCGGGGCCCTGGGCGGCAGGCAGGCGGCCACTTCTTCCTTTGGTGACACAGGTGCACCTGGAAATGGGCGGCACTGGGCGAGAAGAAGGTGACCCGGAGGTGGCCCTGAGAGGCGGCTGGCCGGACGGTCATCTTCCAGGCTGTGGGGGCGGAGGGTTGAGGCCCAGCACCCCCCCAGTTCCGCTCCTCCCTCCCACGGACCCAGCTCCCTGTCATCCCACTTGCCTGACCCAGAGGCATCCGAGGAACCCAGAAGAAAGTGGTATTTGCTGTGTCCACACAGCAAAGGCCCCAGGCCAGCCTCCCTGCCCTGCGGCCCCTTGGAGAGCTCACCTTGGAAGTGTCCCTCTTGGAAAGGGCATCGTACCCAGGAGCCACGGCTGGTGGAGAACTGCAGAGAGGACTTGAGAGGCCTGAGGTCCCCGCAGTGTGCGCGGGGCTGGCGGGGGGCTGGGACCCACTGGGCCTCCTTCCCCCAGAATCCCTTAGCTCCAGCGTCAGACCAGGATGGGGCTCAGAGGGGTCCCCGGGAGGCTGGGCAGGGTCCAGGAGCATGTGTGGCTGCATGCCCCAGCCCCAATGCCGGGGATCCCTCCACCTCTCCTTGCTACATCCCCCTAAGTGCTGACAGTGCCCAGGGCGACCTGGTGCACTCACCTTCAGGCAGAGCCGGGGCTGTGCGTCCACCGACGGGTACTGCACCTGCGGGGGAGGGCGGGGGGCGGCGCTCAGGTCAGGCCCCGCCCTCTGCGCCCACCCCCATCCCCGCCGGGGTGGGGGGGGTACTCACCCTGCCATGCGCCGGCCGGACCGAGTGCTCCAGGTTGTGGCAGAGGGCCCCTGGCCCCGGGCGCCAGCACAGGCTCACGTGGCCACTCACGGGACATGCAGGCTCCCAGCTCAGTGCCCGGTCCCCTGGGTGGTAGCGGATAGCATCCCACAGGGTCTCCGTCTCTGCAGGGACCCTCCCCCAAGGACTCGAGTCAGCGGAGCCCCAACCCACGTGTGTGTCCCAAGGCCTGTGCGGGGCATCCCCGGGCAGAGCGCAGAGCGGGCACCCCTCCTCTGCGCCCACGCCCCCGTCAGCCCCTCTCAGAAGCCCCGCTTCCTCCGCGTGAGCCAGGCCGGGGCGCGGGTGTCCGTGTGTCCCGGGCGTCCACTCCCTTTTGCACACACGTGTCCACGCACAGATTCTTTTTTTTTTTTTAAGATTTTATTTATTTATTTGATAGAGAGAGATCACAAGTAGGCAGAGAGGCAGGCAGGGGGGGGGAGCAGGCTCCCCACTGAGCAGAGAGCCCGCTGCGGGACTCGATCCGAGGACCCCGAGATCATGACCCGAGCCGAAGGCAGCGGCTCAACCCACTGAGCCACCCAGGCGCCCCTACGCACAGATTCTGCTCCCAGAAAAGGCCAGCCGGGACTCACCTTTGGCTACGTGCCATCCACGGCAGGCTCAAGAGGGGGGACGGGCCTGTCCACACGCTTCATTCCCACTGTGTCCCCCTCCAGGCTGAAGCAAGCCGCAACCCCCACCAAGCTGGGCAGCCCCCGACCTGCCCTCTTCCCACGCTGCCTCGTCTCCCACCACCCCCTGCTTCACACCGTAAGGCACTTGCCATCTTCGAAGGGACAGGCCTGCATCCGCACGGCATCAGGGGTCGCAAACCAGCCCTGCGGGAGGGGCTGGGGTCAGCTCAGTCCCAGCCCCTCCGTCTCCTCCAGGCAGTGAAGGCCACACTCTCACTGACCTCGAGGCACAGGCATGGCAGCTCCTGGCTGTAGGGCAGAGAGACGGTGCGGGACATCTGGTTCACTGTCACCTGTGTGGAGTGGAGGGCTTGAGGGTTGGCCCCAGTAGCTGGGACTGGGCGAGGCTGGGAAGGCCTGGGGTGGGGGTAGTGGGAAGGAGGCGGGCCTGGGGCGGGGTGGGAGGGGGGACGCAAGGATAGGTCCTTGGGCTGGACTTGGGTGGGGGTGTGGCCTGGGCCAGAGGCCTTTCCAGGGCTGTGGGCCTGGGCTCACCCGCACGGGGACACCCACATCGTAGCAGGTGAACCACTTCAGGCAGAGCCGCACGTAGTAGTCGGGGGCCCCGGGGGCCTCAGGCACCTGGATCAGAATGACCTTCCGGCTGCGGTCCGCCCAGTAGGAGAACTTCCCAGCTGTAAAACGGTGGCAGTTGGGGGCCATGATGGGACTAGCGGTCACTGGACAAAGGTCTCCACCTGTCCTGAGAGGCTCCAGGAGATGGACCCTTGCTAGATCCAGGCATGTGGGAGTCGCCCACCTGAGAACCCATCATGACTTCCCAATGGGGCAGGCGGGAGACAGCCCTGGAAGGGCTTGCAGGGGCCTCCCCAGGGTCTGCGGGGCGGCGGTCCGCCCTGGGAAAGGGGCCTCACCAAAGCAAACAGGCACGTTCCTCCCCACGTCCTCGTCTCTGCAGTCTGCAAATGGCACAGCAATGGTGGGCCCAGGCCTCCTGTTCCCAGCAGCTGTACCCGAGCCTCTGCCCACGTGCTTACAGAAGTCTCTCTTCTCCCAGGGAGCCCGTGACCCCGGATGAAGTGAGAGGGGCTTGCTGCGAGCCCTCTGGCATGGGGCCCTGACCCTGCCCCAGATGGCCCACCCAAGTTGTCCCCAGAAGCCAGTGGCAGCTGTACCCGGGCCAGCCCCACGGGCTCCCACCTTCCACATGGTACTGCTGGTCTAGCTGGACCCCGCAGAAGTGGGGGACGGTCCTCAGGGTGACGTAGAGGCTCTGAGCCACGCTCACTTCGAAGCAATCAAAATGCACCTGCAGCTGGGCACGCACAGGTGTGAGCCAGGTGGGCCTGGGGTCCCTAGTGCCCCATCCCTGGCCTGGCCAGCTCCACCTCGCACAGCTGGAACTCAGGAGAATGGTCCCCAGTCCTTGGGCCTTGGGTGGAGCAGGAGTCCAGAAGGGAGGGCAGCCAGGAGCAGCCAGGGGACAGCTGCTCCTGTCTGGCAAAAGCTTAGGGTGGGGCCAGTAGGTCTGGGTCAGGTCCCGGCCTCACCTGCCACCCCACCTGCCGGTGGCGGGAGGCTCTGGAGACCCGCACGCTCTGACACTGAGTCTCCTGGGTGTCCAGATTCATGGAGCAGGCCTCCAGGCCCCGCAGGCTCTCTGCGTGGAGGGAGGGGCCGGGCAGGCGGGTCAGACCAAGGCAGGGAATCTTCTTTTCTCCCCTCCTCTCTGTGAAGTACCGGTAGTGGGGTCCCTGGCCCCAGACTGCCTCTCACCATGCAGCACGAGGGTCGCCCGCACGCTCAGGAGCAGGGAACAGCCGTCACTGGGGGCACACTTCATGGCAGTGGAGAGTGTCAGGGCCTCCAGGACCGATGGGGACACGGATGAGGGGGGTGGCCGGCAGAAGCTGTTAAAAATGTTCCCTGGGGAGGAGAGAAGGCTGGTGAGTGCCCCGCGGGGCTCCCCAGGGCCTGGGTAAGGCTTTGTGGGTGGCCCAGCCAGAGGAGGGCGCTCCGGGACGGCACGTCTGGGGAGGGGTCCTTGCTGTCTTGCTCCAGTGCAATAAGGGAATGGCCCCCAGTGAACAGAGGACCCGGCCTGGAGCCAGCTGTCTGTCGGGCATCAGGAGTGGGGCCAGTCTGGGGAGCAGACCCCACCTGCCCAGCACGGGCGCCTTCTGATAAGCTGGCAAGCCCCATGGCCTCTCTTTAAAGTCCTGTGGGGCACCTGGGTCATGACCCCAAGGTCGTCGGAGCCCAGATCAGGGGTCTCGCTTCCAGGCATGGGGGCTGCGCCGAGCGGTGGCGTTCACTTGGCCTGGCTGGCAGCCGGGGACTTGGAAGATAGAGGGGTTATTGCCGTGGAGCCCTGGGGAGGCCCGTGGCCCTCCGAGTTGGCAGCCCAGGTGCCCTCCTGCACCCAAGGGCGCGGGTGGTCTGCAGGCAGGAGAGATGGGGTTCAGGCCCTGTGTCGGGACGGTGGAAGGAAGTAACCCCAAGGTGGGCCCGCGTGTCCTGGTTAGGAGCTGCGACGCCCAGAGCTCCCAGGGGGACCTGTTGGGGCTGGAGCTCTGGGGGACGGGCAGGCAGCACAGGAGGGGGGACCCGTCAGACCACGCCGAACTGCACCGTGAGTGAAGGGGAAGCGGAGGAAGACCCCTCTGCGGGGAGGCTGAGGAGGAAGGGGGCGCCCCAGAGGCCCCAGCCCGGGACCGAGGCGTGGCCCTGAAGGCGCAGAGTCCGTCTGTCCGGAGCCTGCAGCCACGGGCTGTCTCTGCCCCGGGACCTGTTCTGGCGACCTGTGAGCAGGTGGGCTACGGAGAAGGCGGGGTGCCCCAAAGCCAGGTCTTTGCCGGATGCAGTGGCCCTGCCCACCGGGCCTGGACGCACATGGCAAGGAGCGCGTCCCTGGGTGGAGCTCACTCCGATGGCTTCAGAGAGAGACTCACGGGACGTGAGGAGTTACAAGACCCGAATATATTCTTGGAAAGGAAATCCAGCTCTGTGGACCCCACTGCGGCCCAGGCGGAGTCATGGGATCCGGCTGACTCTCCTGTAGGACACAGCCTAGAAAGCCAGACAGAGGACGTGAAGAGGGGTTTCAGGACGCGGCAGGAGGAAAGGGAGGACGGGGATGTCCTTGAGGTGACACTGGGCTGTGGGGGAGGCAGGGGCCCAAGTGGTTCCCTCCCTGAGTCAAGGAGAAGGGCAGAGAGCCTGGGCAGACCCGAGTGCCCACGTTTGCGGGACAGAGCATGAGACAGGAGAGAAGGCTGCACAAGAAGGCGGGAGAAGGTTCACCTGCGGGGCACAAGTCCGCACGCCCGTGAGGGGAACTGCCGGGGCAGGCAGGAACCCGCCCAGAGGATCTGAGGGAACCGCGTCCTGCGCTCCCGGGGCTGGGGATAGTCCTGTGGGCGGTCTGGCCCTGGGTATGCCCCACATTTGCAGGAGTCTTGCCTTGGTGGGGGGTAATTAGCCTCAGACTGAATGCCATGAAATTTAACTGTCTTTCAGGAGAGCCTCAACGATATTTGTAGGAGTAAATCATTATGTCCAGCACACAATAGGGTAAAATTAACAATTCAAAATTACAAGCCATGCAAAGAATCAGGAAAATACGACCCATAATGAGGAGGAGAATCAATTCACTAAGACTGATTCAGGTTCCAGAACCAGCTCAAGGACGTCAAAGCAATGACTGCCGCTGTTTCCGAATGTCCCGACTGGTGTGCATAGACGTGGGAGACTAGATAGGGAGCTCGAGCTCAGGTCCACCTTCCAGAAAAAATATAATGTCCGAGATGAAAAACACATCAGATAGGATTAATAACAGATTGGATATTTAGAAGAAGGAGATTGGGGAACTCAACGGAGCAACTGAAACCACCCAAAAGAAAATGGAAAGAGATACTGGTGACGATGGGATGACAAGAGGCGCGTTGGCAGGACGTCTCCAGGGACCGAGTGCGCGCAGAGAGTCCCCAGAGGGATGCAGGGAATGAGGAAAAACATCGGTATCTCCCCGACTTGTTGAAAACTCTGAAGTCACAGGTCCAAGAAGCTGGTGAGAGCTGAGCGTACGGAAGACGGAGAAATTACGAGACGCACCAGGATCCATTTGCTGGAAGCCAGTGACGGATGGAAAACGCAGAAGCCACCAGAGGAAAAAGACATGTTATGTAGAAGGAACAAAGGACAGGACAACGGCGGGTGTCTTGTGGGAGAGGGCAGAAGAGGCCCCAGAATGCTGCAGGCCGGCCTGCCCACAGGAGCTGTCTGCGGACGAAGCGTGCATAAAGACTCCTGGAGCACACAGAAGCCGAGAGGACTCCTCATCAGAAGACCCACCACCAAAAAAAGTTAGACAGACCCTTGGGTAGGAAGGAAAATAGGAAAATGGTACCAAATGGAGCACCAGAAATGATAACCATGTAGATACACGATCTATTTCTTCATTATTTAAGTCCATTTAAAGGAGGATTGACTGTTTACACGGAATAATAATAGTAATGCACTGGGAGTCTAGAACACGCGGGAAAGGGAAACATGTGACCACAACCCCACAAACACCTGGTGTGGGGGGAGGGGCACCTGGGGACACAGCCGGTTAAGCCTCCAACTCCCAGTTTCCACTCAGATCATGATCTCCGGGTCTTGGGGTCACAGGATTGACCCCTGCATCAGGCTCCACACTCAGCGGGGAATCTGCTCGGGATGCTCCCTCTGGCCCTGCCCCCACTCGTCTCCCCCGCCCAAGTAAATCAGTAAATCTGACACACCAGATGGATGGCCAAGGTGGGGCTGCCCTACTGCAGCCACGGCTGTTTGTGCCGTGAGGCACCGAGTCCTGAAGGTAGAGTACAATGCGTAAAGATGTACGTTAGAAACACCGAAAACCAAACAGAAAGCAAAAAAACACCAAAATGACCAAAGAGTTTGAACTATTAAGTCAACTGAGGAGAAAAAATGAAACCACACACACACACAGACATAATTAACCCGAAAGACGGCAGAAGAAGAAAAAGCGAACAAAGATGATAAGGAACAAGGGAACAGGAACGCGGTCCCCCTGGCCTTGACCGCCTCTGTAGTCACACTCTTTGCAAATGTTTGATGCCGTAGTCAGGCAAAGACGTTCAGGCTGCAAGCCCAACCCAGACCAAGGCAGGCTGTTGTAAGAGATGCACTTCACGGAGGAGGACACCAGCGCGAAGACACAGGCTGCCAGAGCTGATCGAAAGAAAGATAGACGGGTTGTGACCAGACGGCATGGCTTTCCTGGCAAAGAATATTACAAGAGAGAAGGACACTCCTTTCAGAGCGACAGAGGGAGCAATTCCTTGGGAGGACACAGCAGTCACAAATGATACGATGCACTTAATGTCAGAGTTTCACAGGGAGACAAAACAGGTTAAACGACAAGGTCGAACAGACAAGCCCACAGTCTTAGTTGGGTTTCAACAGTCTTCCTTCTACACTTGACCTAACAAGTGGGCAGAAAACCGGAAGGAATATGGTGGCCTCGTATGACATAACCAACCCACTCAGCTTCCCCGGCATTTACGGCACCCGCCCAACATTGGTGGGGTCTGCATGTGGTTCCAGTGCACACGGAATGTTGATCTAGATAGACTGTGTGGTCCATAAAATAGTCTCAGTACATTGAAAAGAATTCAGATCAAACAAACTATCTTCTCTGATCAAAATGGAATTAAATCAGTCATTAATAACATAGTTCTGGGGGCGCCTGGGGGGCTCAGTCAGCTGAGCATCTCACTATTGGTTTCAGCTCAGGTTGTGATCTTAGTGTGGATCTCTCTCCCTCTGCCCCTCCCACTCGTTCTCTCTCGCTCTCTCTTCCTCTAAAATACATAAATAAGTCTCTAAAAAACTAAAATAAAATATTTCTGGAAAACCTCCCAATATTTGGAAACTGAACAATACACTTTTAAATAACTTTCGGCCAAAGAAGATATGAAAAGGGAAATTAGAAATTATTTTGAACAGAATGAAAATGAAAACACAACATATAAAAATATTTGGATGCTGCCAAAACATTATTGGGGGGGATTTGTAGCACTTAATTCCAAATTAGAAAAAAAAAATCTCACATTAGTGACATCAGCTTCCACCTTAAGAAACTAGAGTAAATGCACGCCCTTAAACTAGTGCTAAATTACACATCAACTATATCTCAAACCGAGAAGAAAGAGTAACGAAACCTGAAGTAATCAGAAGAAATAAAATAAGATCATAGTGGAAACCAATGAAATAGGAGACAGAAGAACAGTAGAGAAAGTCAATGAAAGCATATGTTTAAGAAAGAAATACTACCAGTTCTACACGGATCCTTCCAGAAAACCGATGCAGCAGGAATAGTGTGGAACCCATTCTCTGATATCAAAACCTGACAAAAACACTACAAAAAGAGAAAACTGCAGAAAGCTCATGGCCACAGAGTAGAACCTCTAAACAAAATTTCAGTCAAGGGAATCCAACAACATGGAAAAAGATAACACATGATTACCAAGTGCAGTTCACCCTTGCAATACAAGACGGATTTGATGTTGGAAAATCCATCACTATAGGGCAGGCCTCTCGGGGCCCCTCCTTCTTCGGGAGCTTTGTGTTATCATGCAATAAACTTTGCTTTGCTGCCTACCAAAAAAAAAAAAAAAAAAAAAGGAAAGGAAAGGAAGAATCACTACAATTAACTATGTTAACAAATTTTGAAAAACACATACGATCATTTCAACAGCAAAATTATTTTACAAAATCCAATATCTATTCCTAAAAAAAACCTCAGCAAACAAGGAATGTAAAGAACGTTCTCAACCTGTTAAAGGCCATCTATGGGGAACCTATGGTTACTGCCGTGTTTGCCAGTGAAAGGACCGTTTTCCCTTAAGATCAGGAAGGAG